TGACAATGCTCAAAGGCTAGTACATACTAAACTTCCTTACTTTGAAAGTAAGTAATTGATCTCATAAGTTGAAGTATGTGAGATACTTGGAGAGAGTACATGAGTGCTTGTTAAGAAACAAATTTACTGAACAAGACTCGCTATGAGAGTTCCATTTGGTATTTCATTCAAGTGTCTATGAAAGTACATGGGCGCTTGTTAAGAAACAAATTCACTGAACAAGACCCGCTATGAAAGTTCTATTTGGTATTTCACTCAAGTGTCTATGGAAATACTCTTATATATCAGTAGTGTAAGTAATCGTTAGACTTATGATACCAAGTCATCTTGTATGTGAATTATTATACTTTGATTTCTTTTCTACAGGTCTAAAGGTAATCAGATGCTTAAACAGGGTGTTTTTGAATATGGCATGAAGCATGTGAAGATGAATGAGTAGTCTAAAGAGGATTCATCACCCCAAGTGAGTTAAGGGGGACATATCTTATTAGCTCTTGGCTTATATTAATTAAAAGTCCTTAGCCAAGGCAATCTTGATAGGTCAATATAAAAGCTACAAGACTAATATGGGTAAGTTAGAAAGTAGACACCGAGCCAAGCTTTCTATCTATATAGGATATATGATGAAAGGATCGAATTACACTAAGATATTGTACACTGAAAAGGTAGTCAAATCATATTGACTCTCCTTACATTAGGATGGTCATGATGTATTGCTAGATGCCACTCATAATCTGTAAATATAAATATAAATTCTTAATTGAATTAATTTATATTTATTGCCAACATGTTGAAATTAATTTAAGTTCAATTAGATGTGATCTAATTAATTTTATAAAAGCTTAGTCTAATTAAGTATTGGGCTATATCAAATATGATTTAATAGAGTATTAAATAAATGCGCGATTAGCGCAAGACATTTTATAATCCTTGTTAAATAAAAAGTAAGTCAATACACTCCATAATAGAATCCCTTAGCCTCCTCTTGAATATATAGAAGAGTTTTGTTTTATTGTCTTATGTGTTGAGATAAGATCACAACCCAAAAAAAAAAGGGAAATACAAGAGAGCTCAAAGTTGAGAGT